TTTTTTTAAAGGCAATTTGGGGTTAAGTGATTTGCTCAGGGTCACACAGCTAGTAAGTGTCAAGTGTTTGGTCTGAGGCCATATTTGAACTCAGGTCCCCCTGACTTCAGGGCTGGTGCTCCATCCACTGTGCCACCTAGCTACTCCATCATCATTATTTTCATCAAACCAATCTTGACCTTTGTGAATATTCTGGCCCCTATGAGTAAATACAATGATGTACACACAATCTTTGAAAGTTGCCTCCTTCTTTTCTGCTCCACAGTTTCCAACTGTGTGTTTGCTCAGCTTTCTCTCCTAATTAGTAATATACTATTTATGTCTGGAAAAACACTCTAATTGTTAACATTAAGTCTTCTGATAGTTGTTTTGCCTTGGGGAAGCCATTCTTGTTGAATTTGCACTCTACACCCCACATCACCTTTAGTATTCTCATATCTTGTCTGCATCTTCTCCTTACAAGGACAGAGTCTATTAAATGCCAATATTTTCTGTGAGAGTGTATTCATAAAGTTTTATTGCATTTAGGTAAATGGAAGATATTATTGGTGCTGAGATGATCATGAGACAAACAAGTTTTCAGCAGTAAATGACCTGCTGCTGCTGTTTCTGATTCCATTCCTACCAAGGACTCTTTGCCATTCTGATTGCCTGTTCCTACTCTTCCACTAAAGTCACCCAAACTTATAAGCTTGTCCTTTTTGGACACATTGATGATGAATCTCTCCAGGTTTTCATAAAATTTTTCTTTGACTTCATCAGGGTGCATCATGGTGGCAGCATATGTACTGATTATGGTGGTGTGATGTTTTCCTGCAAGTGGCAATCACCTTGTCATGAGTCTTTCATTCACTCCTTTTGTTAAGCATACAAGCTTATTGATTAAATTAGTTTTGATTGCAAGACCTGTGCCAGGTTTATGATATGCCCTAACTCTGTGACCAGTCTAGGAAAAAAAATAAAAACAAAAACAAAACCACGTATCCAGCTCCATCCTCAGTAAGCTAGTCTTCGTTTTCCATCCTTATTTCACTCAGGCCTGCTATTTGAATATGATACCTACTGAGTACTCTTGCAAGGAATGCTGCTTGTATTTCAGGTCTACTGGATTTTGTGTTGTCCATAAGCATGCAAACATTCTGTATATCCATAGTGAATGAAATTATCTTTGCAAATTGTGTGTGTGTGTGTGTGTGTGTGTGTGTGTGTGTCTGTGTGTTGACTTCAGTGTGGGATCTCTACATGCTGTGGTAAGAAGGTCAAGGTTGGGTGAAGCAGATAATTTTAGGACAACTTTGTTAGTCCTTTCCTTACACCAGACAGTGAGCAGTGTGGTACTTGAAAAAGGCTACTCAGACAATCATGGGGCTGCCAAGTCCCACTGCTGCTTCAGTCTACTGAGAAGTTGACCATATGCCCTCAGCCACTTGTATACAGGATTATGACTTCAGCTCCCAGTGTACCTGCAACTCCTGCTTCATCACTTGCCAATCACCACAGGACTTTGAGGTAGATAAAAATGGTAAAGTTGCATGGGTGTTGCTTTTTGACTCACACATAAATTAGCGTTAAGTGAGGGAGAGTTGCATGAAGTCCTCAGCCTCTCAACTTCTCTTCCTGTCATCAAATCCAGTGGCGAGAGAAAGTGAAGATGACTGGTAATTGCTCTGGATGCAGTGGATAATCTCAGTGACTTCAATGTCTGACCAAGCTCTAAGTACTCCACAGCACCTGCTTCACTTATCTTCATGGCCATTGGAACAACTTATTCTCATCTGCCCATTCTACTGGGGAAGTCTTCACATACCTGGGGCAAATGGCCCCTTAAATCACCAATGTGTTTGAGAGCCCTCAGTTACCCTCAATCTGGTTTATCCTGTCTGCTGAAATGGTTTAGTGGACAGTGGCTACTGGGCACTCTACAGCTTCTTGGAACCACAAATGAGAGTTTGGTGAATTGTGTGGATACTAAAGGTGGAAATCAGTTCTGAAAAGGTCTTAGCAACCCTCACATCAGAGTTGTTAGTCTTCCCTGAACACTCTATTCCCCAATTAGTATCTAGTTATCTAGTGGCTACAATATAACTCTTTCTTTATTATCCTACAGTGTGGCACCCAGAACTGAACACACACACACACACACACACACACACACACACACACACACACAGAGTAGATGAAGGGTCCTTAGCCTAGGGTTAATGAACTTTTTGATAGCTAAATTTCCAAAAATTAGTTTCCTTTTGATCTATTTTATTTTACACTTAAAAAAAAAACATTGTTCTGAAAAGGAACCCATAGGATTTGCCAGCCTGCCAAATGGGTTCATGACACACACAAAAGTTAATAACCTCTTTTTATATAAAAAAGATGATGAAATAGGTTACTTACCACTCAATATAGTGATGAACTTAAAATGAAGAAGAGACATTTTCTGAAATATTTTATATGAGAATTGGTTTTGATTGGCTATATAGACATGTATTCATGCATTTATGCATTTTTTAATTGCTTAATAGTTTGAGGTAGTGGGAGGGACAGAATGATAATATACTTTTCACCTGAAGAATTGGGGAAAAATAAATTAAGAACACTTCCTCTCAATATTGTCTCAACTGCAAAGAGTATGGTGGTATCATTTTGTTTTCTGGACCTTATGATCATTATTATGTCTTTATTACTGTAGCCTAAGACGACAACATCATAGCAGATTAGGCAGCCTAAACATGGTATTACTTTTCTATTTTAAACTGGGTGTTACATAAAATTGCTAGTTGTGTTCTCTAACACAAACTTTTACAAAATTGCATTTCGACCTTTCTACATATATTTTATATACTGTATCTATTAAGTTTTCTTTCAGTTTTTAAGCTTGAATACAATATCTTACTGTTGTTCCTATTCAATTTCTGCTTGCTAGTATTCCAGCCTATCAAGACCTGTTGGAATTCTTAATCTGATCCACTGTCATCATGCCTCCCAACTTTGTGTAGTCTATGTATATGGACAGCTTTTATTGTTAGGACATTTACATTGTGCCTACATCTGTCTCGTTATAACTTACGCATATACCTCCAGTGTCTGCTTCCTGCCTGATAGCACTTGAAAACATACACACACAGGATGGTAGCAACTTGAAATTTCTTAGATATCACAGTACAACCTAAAACAGCCCTTACCAAATCCCTAGTGACATGTTCAGCTGTTCCACTCAGATTAGTTTGCCAGCTTTTAAGTTCCAGCCCCAAATCAGTTTGTAATGAGCATTTTACATCTCCACTTGGTATGCCATTATCCTCCCAGTGAGTGAAATCATGTGCCTACCTATACTAGCAGCTATTAATATGTAAAAGGGAAACCAGTAATTTGAAAAGTTGGCAAAGGCTCAGACAGATTCTGTTAGGGTTCTTTTATAATTCTTCAATTATTATGAGCATTTGCTCATTTCTTTATATATCTTCTTTGTCAGCATTGTCAGACTACATCCAGTAGAAAATTTTTAAAAACTAGAATCTTTTAAATGGTGTTCATTCATTTGCATATTTCCTAATGTCTCCCTATTTGACTGTTTTCTAGGTCCAGCTAGAGGAATTTATTAGTGAAGGGAAATTATTATATTGATATAATTCTTCTAAAAGCCTATTAATAATAAATGTTTGTCAAACAGGTGCAGCAGAATGGTGAAACATATAAAGAAATAGCCCTTGTTTTGAAATTACTACTTTAGCAAGTACTTTTGGAGGGAACTTCTATTGTAACTATTATTGTAAATCATGAGGAAGGGAGTGGACATCATTTTTTTTCTACCTCATTTTGAGAAGGCACAAAGCACCATACCACAGACAAGAAATTCTGGGAGATGAAAGGCTACAAATCCTCTGTTCTGAACATTCTTCTCAACAGTAAAGTGGATGATGGGAAGAATCTTCTCTTTGACATTCTATTTTGCACTTCTGACCACACTGTAGTTCTATTGACTTGCTAGTTCTTCATTTTCTCTGCTGATACTACTAAATGCTCAGCCATAGAATTATTTAAATAAGTCATAAAATAGGAAGCTAAGTTAGAAATTCACTTGTGATAAAATGGAGAGAGCACTAGACCTGTTTAAATCCCAGATATGCCATTTATTAGCAAATGGTGTACCTTAGCTTCCTTATCTATAAAATGGGACTAATAATGTAAGGACTATGTACTCTTTAGAGTGATTGAGAATCTCAATGAAAGGAAAATTAATGAGGTTTTCAGATGGGTTGTCACATGCAGGGTGGATTATATTTATAACCCTTGGTCACAGAGGGCAGAGAAAAGGATTAATGGGTAAAAGTTACCTCCATTTAATGAAAAAAGTTTCTAACAATTATCACTGTACAAAACCAACAGTTTCTGTTCGTGTAGCTCCCCTTGAATTAAAAAGGTTACCACTCCTTGCTAGAAAGGACTTTTTTTCCAGATCTGAGTTATACTAGAAGGCTGCTGAGGTTCTTTCCAAGCAGACTTTAAATATTTAAATTACATTCCACCCACAAACCTTAATCATATATGCTAACCAAGAAATGTATGATCTGTGAAGGAGTAGATACACATCAAAATCTCAGAATAGTAAAGCACATAAGAAGGAACCATATATGACCAAGCCAGCTCAAAAACTCTGGAATACAGACTTTGAAATATCTTTTCTATCTAGAAGCTTCTGTCAAAGCTCTGAGGGTGTCCTGATTTCTGTCTTGCACAAATGTTTACACTGATAATCTAAGCTAATCTATACTATGCTGAATTAAGACCTCACTGAACCTGCAATCATGCCTGGTAATTCTATCCATTGGGCTCATTCTCTAATGACTACTTCTAATCTGTTTTTTCTCTTAACTGTGTTTGCTCCTCAACAGACAATTTATTACCTAAAACTTATAGTTTCAGGCTTAGCTGATGCTGTCAAGATGAAACAGTGTTTTAAACTTTTTTTTTTTGGAAAAAGTCAAAAACCTTTATTCTAATATTGGCGGAGGCAGAAGGGAGGGAGACTTCTCCAACTCTGATCACTTGGCAGCATTCTTCTTCTTCTCCACCTGAGATAAGAGGAATTGTGATTCAGCAAATATGATCGTGAGATTTAGATTATTAGACTTTTCCCACCCAATGACCAATGGAAAACAGATGCAACAATGGGGGGGGGGGCAAATAGTGCCTAACCTCTTTCTGACAAGGTAGGAAGTAATGGCTTAGAAGTAGAATTCCCAATGTTATATTCAAGAAATTACTAAGGGATGATATTTTTTGTTTCTTTTTAATAATCTTATCTACTAATATATTGCAGCCTAGAGGGAAAAAAAAACATGCAAAGGGGAGATTGATGTCTCACTTTGGAGATGATAGTATAACCCTGGAGAGAGCCAATCTGAGGTAATTGAAAGAATTCTGAACATGTAGTCAGAAATTCTGAATCCAAATCCTAACATTAGTAGGACTTCTGCTCAGCTACTTCATATCCTAGCATTTTTTCCCCTGAGGGAGCTGGTTTAGGGTAAGGCTTCTTCAAGCTCTAAAGCCTATCATATGTAAATGAGTATCTGTGAGATTAAAACACTTGATTTATAAGGCCTGTGATTCAAGGATAGTGAAAACTTCTTTTGACATCATTCTGTTAAAATGATGGCTTTTGTTAGCAGAAAGGAAAGAAATACATACTTATTAAACACCTACAAAATCTATTGTTTGTGTTCCCAGGTCAAGTAGATATTATTGCAAATAGTCAGAAAGAAGCAATTCAAGTATTGTGGAAACATAGCTAGGATAATACAAGATTTAGTAGCTTCTGCATTAAGGGATTGGAGGGCTTGGGAAATGATATTTCAGAGGTTGAAGGAGCTAGGATTACAACCAAGAATCACCTACTCAGCAAAACTGAGTGTAATCCTTCAAGGGAAAAAAAATGTATATTGAATGAAATAGAAGACTTAAATTTGACTTTCAAATACAAGACTCAAGAGAAGCATGAAAAAGTAAGCAACAGCAACAAGAAATAATAAGGGCCTTATTAAAGTTGAACTGTTTATATTCCTATCTGGAAAGATGACTATATATATGTATATGTGTGTGTGTGTGTGTGTGTGCATATATATGTATATATGTATGTATATATATATATATATATATATATATATATATATATATATATATATATATATATATATATATATATATAGATAGGAGAGAGAGAGAGAGAGACAGAGAGAGAGAGAGAATGGAGTAAATTATTTATCTCACATAAAAGAGGCAAGAAAAAGCTTTTACAATGGAGGGGAAGAGGGGAAAGGTGAGAGGGATAGAGTGAATCTTAGTATCTTTGGATTTGCCTTAATGAGGGAATAACATACACACTAAATTGGGTATGGAAATCTATCTTATCCTATAAGAAAATAGGGGGAAAGGGATAAGAGAGAGCAGGGTAATGGTAGGGAGGACAGATTGAGGGAGGGGTAATCAGAAGCAAACACTTTTGAATAAGGACTGGATCAAAGGTGAGAACAGCAAATCAGGGGATGAGATAGCATGGAGGGAAATATAGTTAACCTTTCATAACATGACTATTATGAAAAAGTTTTGCATGTCTATACATGTATAATGTATATCAAATTGCTTGACCTTTCAATGAAGGTGAGTGGGGAGAGAGGAAGGGGGAGAATTCGGAATTGAAAGTTTTAAAAATGAAAGTTAAAAATTATTTTTACATGCAACTGGGAAATAAGAAATACAGGCAAAAAAAATGGGGCAGGTAGGTGGCACAGTGGATAGAGCACTGGCCTTGGAGTGAGGAGGACCTGAATTTAAATCTGACCTCGCACACATAACATTTACTAGCTGTGTGACTCTGGGCAAGGCTCTTAACCCCAGTTGCCTCACCAAAAAAAAAAAAAAAGAAATCCCACAAGCAATGGGGTATAGAACTCTATGCTGCTCTACAGGAAAATAGAAGGGTAAGGGGATAAGAGAAGGAAGAGAGTGATAGAATGGAGGGCAGATTGGGGGAAGAGGTATTCAGAAGGCATGCTGTCTTGGGGTGGGGGTAGCAGAGAGTTGGGGAGAAAATTTGGAACCCAAAGTCTTGTGGAAGTGAATGTTGAAAACAGAAAATAAATTAATAAATTGACAAAAAAAAGGCCTCTATTTCATTTAATGTCAATTTTGCCCCCAAGCAATCATTTGCTTGGTAATTGATTCTTAGTTGTAATCCTAGCTCCTTTGACATATTCTATGGTCTGATTTTTTGTAAGGTTTGCTCATAATTCCAGCCAATTACTTGAATTATAAACTCTTTGTTAAGGTAGGAGTCTGCTTCCAGTGTAGAGAATGTACTGTCCCAAACTTCGGGGTTTTTGTGCAGCTGTTTTCAGAGATACTTCTAGGGACCTGTAAATTTTCAGTTCTTCCAAGGTGGTATGATCAAAGGTGAGGTGTTTACTCCTTTCCTGCCCTGTGCTCTGGTCTATGGGTGACCACAAGCACTCGTTTCTGCCTTGGAATTGTGAAGAGGATTCTCTCTTCACTAGACCACAAGCTCCATCACAGCAACTCTCCTCCTCAACCCAGTATTACCACCCAGGACTGTGACCCAGATCCAAGGACAAGAGAATCCTGCCTCAGCACCAGCAAAGAGATCCCTGCAATTTCCCTCTGATCAGCCACTCAATTCCCCCTCAGTCTATGGGCTGGAAGCTCTGGAAGCAGTCACCGCCCCCAGGGCTATGAGTGCTGTGCGTGGGTACTGGGGACATGGGGACTGAGCTTCTCTCTCACTGTGGTCACAGACTTTTTCTACTGACTTTCTAAATTGTCTTTGGTGTTTTGGGTTGAGAAGTCCAGAAACTTCCACAGCTGTCCATGATTCAGTACTCTGAGGCCTGTTCCAGGTTTGCTGCCTATTTTGCATGCACACCCGTGCTGAACAGCATTTCTCTCCCATTTCAGCACAATAGCCCTCTCTAACCAAAAATCCAGGTTGTCTTGGGCTGCAAATTTTTTTTTGTTGCATCTTTTTATGGGTTCTGCTGCTCTAGAATTTGTTTAGAGCCATTTTTACAGGTATTTGGAGGGGTTTAGGGAAGAGGTCAAGAAAATAGCTGCTTTTACTCTGCCATCTTGGCTCCACCCCCTCTGATTGTTTCACTACATCTTTTTACATGTTCTGCTCTAGAAATTGTTTGGCGTCATTAGGTAAATGTATTTGGATGGATGTGGGGGAGAGCTTAGAAGAGTTCCTGCCTTTATTCTGCCTTCTTGGCTCCTTCTCCAATCTGTTTATTTTTAAAACGGTAACAAGTTGTTTTGGTGATTATAGTTTTGTAGTATAGTTTGAAACTTTGTATTGCTAAGCACCCTTCCTTCCTTCCTATTTTTCTATAATTTCCTTGATTTTTTAATCATTCTTCCAAATAAACTTATTTATTACTTTCTTCTACCTCTATAAATAATTATTTGTCTATTTAATTGGTATAATATTGAATAAATAAATGAATTTTGGTAGTATTGTCATTTTTATTGTGTTGTCTTGGCCCAACCACAAGCCTTGAATATGTTTTCAACTATTTGGATATATCATTATTTGTGCAAGAGTAATTGCAAACATGTTCCTATATTTATTTTGTACATCTTGGAATTTTTTTTTTATTTTATAGTTTTTATAGCTATTTTAAATAGATCTTATCTTTTTGTCTCTTCCTAATGGATTTTGTCCAAAATATACAGATGTGATCATGATTTACATGTATTTATTTTATATCCTGTGATTTTGATGAAGTTAATTTTTTCAATTATTTTTGGTTGATTTTCTAGGTTCTCAAAATAAGCCATAATATGATTTACAAAAAAGTGATATTTTTGTTTCTTTGTTGTCTAAGTTTATTCCTTAAATTTCTTTACCTTATTTTATTGCTAAAGCAAGCAATTTTAGCACTACATTAAGTATTTTTTAAATTTTTAATTAACTTAGTTAATTAGTTAAAAATTAATTAATAGGCATTTTTGCTATATCTCTGTTCTTATTGGAAAGACCTTTAGCTCATCATCATGACAAAAAATGTTGGCTCATGGTTTCAGATAGCTAATATTTATTATTATAAGTAAAGTTTCATTTATTCCTGAGCTTTCTGCTGTGTATTTTTTAATAGCAATATGTCGTATCTTGGCAAAAGCTCTTTGTCCATCTATAGGTATTGTCTTACGATTTTTTATTTATTTTATTAATATGTTTGATTATGTTTATTATTTCCTTACTAGTGATGTATCTCTGGAATCCTGGTACAAATGCAGCCTGGGCATCTTGTATAATTTCTATGATGTGTAGCTGTAGTGTCTGCTTAAATTGTACTTAAAAATGTTTACATCAATATGTGTTAGGTAAAAAGGTAAGTTTCATTTCCCTGTTTTCATGTTCCTGTTTTACATAACAAGATCATATTTGTATTACAGAAGGAATTTTCCAGGACTCTTTTTTATCTATTACTTTAAATAATTTGTGTAATATTGTAATCATTTGTTCTTTAAATATTTAGTAGAATTTTCTTGTAAATCAATTTGTTCCTGAGGTTGCTTTCTTTCTTTGGATATGTTTTCACTTTGTTCTAGATTTTTGGAAGGAAATTTGGTGGGGAAACTAGGCTGTAACTTCTTGTTCCTGCTAGTCTGTCATTTTTACTCTGCTTTGAGCAGTGCTTTTAATTTTTTGATAAACAAATAAACATAAAAAAAATCTCATGAAAGAAAGACTTTGAGTCACTCAGCACTAGTGTAATAGTTCAAATTGGGAATTCTTTGTTGTTTACTTATGGACCCTAGTAGGTGCCCACTAAATGAGTACTTGGAGGTTGTTTTGACACACGGCTATTCAAGGTTTGCCATGAACTACACTCATCATTGCTGGAGTTTCCCTCTACTCACATGATCATGACCCTAGTTTAGGCCCTCATTTTCACTCAACTAGTCTATTTCCCTGGATCATTAATTGGATTCCTGACATGCAGAAATTCTTTTTTTTCTTTCCAATCTGTCCCCCACACAATTGCCAATTGCC